GCATGCATGCATACATGCATATACACACACACACATACATACATAAATACATACGTACATCTTTCTTTTGGACGCTGCAAAAATGATCAAAAAATGTCTTTGCAAAGCGACGCTGTTATGACGGGTGGCCACCCCGGCTCTTTGAGCTCTGTGGTTTCATAGCTCGAAGCGCTGGCAAATCACACTGGAATCGCGGGATGGCACAGTCTCTCGAAAGTTGAGAAGTTCGACAGTAGAGGAACAAATAACCAGTTTGCAAGATGCGCTGAGGCAGTGCACCAGTGAGTAGTTCTGCCTCTTTTCCATCATCGCAGTAACGATACGGCTCTGCAGAAGAGTGCCAGAAATGAGCAATGCTCGGTAGTGACCAGTGGGCGGAACCGAAGTCTGATGCGTGAGCACTGAGCAGAGTCTGTAGTGCTGCAAAGAGGTGGCTAAGGCAGTGGTGGGAGGATGACTGTCACGTCAGAAACATGGTCTGGGGCAAGGTGTGGGTCTGGCAACACCTGGGCTTCATCTTTGTCGGATGGAGTGCCGTGATTGAGCTCGCATCAGAATGGTATAGCGATTGACTTGAACCGCGAGCAAAATGGGCGCCCCACTAAGCGCAACGCCTCCATTGGAGACCTCATTGTGCCAAGCTGTGACAAGTCGTTGAACCGTGATCCGACGAATACCGGCCGAAGCAAGCTGGGAGATGGACACCGATATGCAAAGTGGCCATGTCTCCCCACAGTCAGTAACCTCGCAGCTGGGAGTGGTAAGCGTATGGCATAAGAGCCTCGTTGCCAGCCTCCCGTACTGAGGCCCGGAATGAGGAAATATGTATTCAGCAGCATCAGCCACACCATTCCCTCGTATAGCCCTTGCCGGAATGGCTTATTGGTTGACGGCGGGGCTGGCATGGCTGCCGCGAATCAGCTTTCCGCCCACTAATTCTGCCCTTTCTCTCCTCTCCTCGCCCCTTGCCACCTCCACCCAATCCCCCTTTGGCGCTGGAACTTCCGGGGCTCGCCCTTCGCTGGAGGGTCCTGACCGTCCGTATGGCGTTTGTCGCCGCGCAGCTCCAGCTCCATTGGGTCCTCCCCGCCCCAGCATCGAAGAAGAGGCATCTCCGCCTCCGCTTCTTTCTGCTGGATCTCCATGAGCCGCTCGTTCCCACTCGGCATGGCGAATGTCATGGTCAACAGAGGGTTTGTTGCAGCAGGCAAGCAAGCTGGAACATGCTGGGTTTTGTAACCTGCAGTGGCCGCACACCAGCTGCAGGGGGAACGAGCACCAACGATTCTGTCCTTCAGCCTCCAGGGTGGCAGTGAATGGGTGTTGCTTGCGCATATGTCGAAAGATATCCGGAGCGCGGGCAAACCACCGATGGCGCAGAGGACAGCGGCACAAACCATGTCGGCTGCGTTCGGCCAGGAGTCGCCAATGAGATCTGCGCCAGTGCTCTGATGCGAGTGTCATAAAGAGGATCGCGCCGCAAAGATTTGTTGCAGGGCCTGGGTTGGTTCCGGAAAACCAATACAAACACACACGAAAATCAATACGAATATCGAACCAGGCCGAGGCAGGGTCGAACCCGGTCCTGGCTTCGGAATTTCCAAGTGGTCTCTTCAGCATTGGCGCTTTTGCATGTCTTTGCCCACCACTCAGAGAGCTTTGAACTGCAGAATGCTTGCCCACTCTGTACTTGATACAGACAGGTGCTGGCACCTTGTGTGGGGCATTGCTAGACAAGCACGACTGAGCAAGAG